GAACAGTAATTGCACATATGTGCAGTTTTTGAGGAAGAAGCGTAAAAAGTGTTGAGCAGTTTTGAAAATCTGCTAAATAAAGAGGCAAAAAAAAGTAAAAATGCAAAAAATTTCTAAAATTCACTTAGTAGCACCTCTCTGGTGCAGTAAGTTTAACGAGAAAAACATTTTTAAATGGGTTACTGAAAAGGGTAGTTCTGGAATAAATGATTTGGTACCGGTTTGGTTATTATACTAGTAAACGGCAAAGAAGTTTTATTGAATTTTTGATTTTAAAACAGTTACAAAAAAAATTTCTTTTCAGTTTTCATTGTATACAACTCCATTCATAACTCTGCTCACTTAGCAGTATAGTTCTGTACTGGGAAAGTAACCAAAAATTTTCCTGCTAAATTAAACGATACCACTAATTGAACATTTATGAAACATTCAGTGTCCAGTATTGCGCAAGGAAGGAGAACTCGGCTGTCCAACCCACCAACCACTCGCAACCAATCAGAGCGCCAACTGAATTGTGCGTTGCGTTTGACAAACATCTGAGTTATGGACTATCTATCATCTGCATTTTTTATGTTTACATAATTAACACCCTCCCCGCTAAGAAAGAAGTGAGTAATTATTTTAACACTTTGCAAAATATAGAGAGAATACCATCAACAGTGATTTTTTAAAACAATCAAATATATATGTTGACCATCATTTATCTGTTTTTCGCGCTGCTAAAGTTACGAGCATTTAACACTGTGTTTGTATCAAAGGTATTGTAAGGGTAAATGATCTCTTCTACACGGTCATTTTAGGTTTATTTTAGCCTTCGGGACAATGCGTCATTGCTTACTGAAACCGATGCCACCTTTTATTATTTTTGAAATTTGAGGCTACAACTATTCATCACTGATGACGGCAAGGTAAACACGACTACAATAAATCACCGTATATGGCCATTGACAACGATCAGGTGTTTCCAAAGAAAAAAAATGGATCAATTGAGGAAATTTTTGTTCAAATACTGTTTTAATGGCACTGAATTGTGTTATCAGTTAAAAAGTTCTAATTTTTATCAATTACAAATTACAACACTGTATGAAGTATTTTCTATACAAATTTATTTGTTTTGCACCTTTCTTTTTCTCTTTGTATATTTGTTTGTATTTAAACAAATGGAACTGTGAAATTTTTTTAAACAAAGTTAGCCGTCAATTGTTCCCCTAATATTTTTTTGTTAATCTGAACTTTTGATACAGATATAAGCGTGAAAGTTTATGCAGAATAATAGTGCAACTCACACCTCGTAACATCGGAAGTGACACCACGTATTAATTTTCTTGGGATGTTTAATATAAACAGCAATTGTCTCTTCTGCTTTTCATAAACATTTGAGCATGGTTAAGACGAGATAGTAAGCCGACACCTTTTGATGGACTGATGGGATGAAAAGGGGGCTGAAAAGCAGCATTTTTTTTTTCAGTCATCATTGCATCACCTTGTTTATAATATTGACCTGATTATTTAAGGATGTGAACCTTGATGATGAGGTTTTAGGCCAGGTGACATCGTTTGTTATTGGTTTCACCAAAAATAAACTTACGGTAACAGCAGAAGACAACAAGAGGGAGAAAAAGAAGCGGGTAGTTTTAGAAGGAGTCTGGGCGCCTGTCGCTGCAGTATTTGGTCGGGTTCAGCCCCTCCCCAGCAGTACAATTTGTATGTATATATAAATCTAAAAGGCGGAGTTGTTCATCGAGGACAGGCGCAATCGGTCTCAGTGCTGCACTATGTTCGTTTTGTTTTAGTTGGACCAAACCAGCAATAATAATTTGCATAAAAAAAAAAAAACTTTTTGTTCTAGTCAACTGTTTCATTGACAGCAGCAGTTAACACAGATGATATTTGCTGTAATACCGTTGCTTCTGAACATACTGTATTGTCTGAATTTTCAAATTCAATTTATTGAATCTGCAAATGTATGCCATTTTGATCGGCAGTCGTTCATTAAGTCGTTTGAGAATGCGACGGTGGTGGTCACTGCAACGGTACGACAAGTTACTATTCATGCACCTAACAGTCATTTGAAGGTAATTATTTTTTTTCCTCATCTATTAGTAGTATCTTTGATATATTTTTGTTCAATTCAAAAATTTGTTTGGTAACAGCTGCTTATGATCTTTGTGCCAATTGTATTTCGTTTCAATAGTTTTAGAAATTTTTAATGAAATTCAACATAATTTAACTCATTTTAAGGTTGCTTGTTTTACTGCAATTGAAGATTCTTGAGAAATTAGAATAAAATTTGAAAATGTAGTATTTTAACCGAAACCAATTGCATGAAACAATTGTACCTTTGTAGGCGGCAAAAGTTCGAGTTAAAAGAGTAATTAAGGGGAAGGATATTCTCAACAAAGTTAGTGAAATTGTTATTTACGGGCTTGGAGATATAAAGGTAATATTTTGAACATAATAATAAGTCATTTCAACGTAATTGTTGCTCTCTCATTTGCTTTCTGCTTCTCGTTTTTTTTCTTTCTTTCAAAAGCCGCTATGTGTAATATTCATAGCAGTGGTCTTAACTTTCTTCATGGTATTTCAATTGTTAATGGGTTTAATTAATCCGTGTTCTTCTGTCTGCAACGGCAAGTTTTCAAAATTTAGAAGTGTCAAAGTGTCCTCTATGAAAAAGATACCAAAGTATTTCTGCTATCTGTGCGCCAAGGAAAATTTTTTCTGAATCCCCCAGTAGCACCAATTTCTTTAGATATTTTGGATATGATGGATTCGATAATGCGAGGTAAGTTCTCTGTTGCAATTTTTCCAGTTGCAACTCTGAGGTTTTTCTACTGTATTTGTGTACAAAATTTTACCTCAGTTTTTCAAAGTTCCGGTTGCAGAAAATCAAGAAAACTTTGGTTTTTCATTTTTTCAGAATTGTTTTTAAAGCTAAACTGGTTTTGCTTAAGGTTTTTTTAACACCTCGCATCTTCTTATCGTTTCCGAACTGCGTTGAAGTTTAGCATAGATTTTCTTTCTAAGTTAGTTCTTTTTTTTT